TGTGGACTCGAACGCAACCATTCATGTTGAGTTCAAATAAAATCAGAAACAGGAAACTTACAACAACTTGGATTCGCTCTCTAGTTTAACGGCATGTAGAAAATTAACTTTGCTGAACATACACGAAACTAATAAATGGAAATTTAAAAAAAACAATCAGTAAACTGATTATGTAAAAATTTTGATTTAAAGTGGATGTTTGCTCGTTTCACAGTATTAGAATTCCTAGTTGTAGTTGAATGCAACATATAACTACGTAGTAGCATCTGATTGGCGCTCGACACACGGCGCCATTTTATAAATCCCCTCTCAGCTGCAAACATTGGGTCAGTGTCGAAGGGGAGACGACAGAGAGGAGCTGCTGCTGGACTGAACATCCACTGGTGGGTAAATGTCCGCTGGTTGACAACCATAAATCCCCTCGGACCTCTCTTCCTCCACTGTCGGTGTCCTTCCTTCCGGTTGTTTATGGTATTTGTCTCACTTGTCATTGTGCATTTAAAGCAAACAACAGTTTCTAAGAGCAGAAAAGCTTCGTAAGTTACAGTCGAGTGTTTAGCAACATGACAAAAAGAAGTAATGCTAAATTTAAAACGGGAAAATTATGTAATTTATGTAAATGGTGGATTTTTTAAATGTATTTAATTGCTTATACACCCGCTCCTACAAAACAGGAGGGATAACCAGACAGCATCGAAGTTGGCTTCTGATCTGTAGCTTCCTTTGGAGCGACAGTAAAAGGCAGTTCCTCTTTTTTTCCAGAACATTAATACATTTTTGGATAGTTGCTTCAAACCCCCATGTAAAATGCAACTTTAGATGCATGAAGCATTCACTCTAATAGGGGGGAAAAATGAAACTCACTTTCAGTGTTTTATTTGGCAAGTAGAAACCTGACTTGCAGCGCCCTTATGGGGGCGCTTTTAAGTGGTTGAACATACAGCAAGTAGAAACCTGACTTGCAGCGCCCTTATGGGGGCGCTTTTAAGTGGTTGAACATACAGCAAGTAGAAACCTGACTTGCAGCGCCCTTATGGGGGCTCTGGATGAACAGTGCTAATGGGGATTTAAGCTCCCGCTCTTACAGAGAGCCTAAACCAGGGGTCCCCAAACTTTTTCCTTTGAGGGCCAAATAACTTTTCCCTTCTCTGGT